TCTTTTTCATCTACTTTGTAAACACAAAAAACAATCTACATTGTACTAGAAGGTTAAGATTAGACATAAGATATATCAATAAGAAAGTTATAAATATTTCATAAGAAATCTTTATTTTAGTAAATGGTCCACATATACTTGAGAAGCATGCATTCTGCAGTTTGGGGTATAGTGTAGTGTGCTTTATCTGTGTCGTTAGGTAAACTTGGTTAATTATGCATTCAAATCTTCTATATTCTTATTGAATTTTTCCCATCTGTTCTATCAATTACTAAAATATGCTAAAATCTCTAATTATGATTGTGAGTTTGCCTGTTTCTCATTTTGGTTCTGCCAATTTTAGATTTATATTATTTTGAACCTATTACTAGAAGTTTAAAATACAGAATTGTGTGTTCAGGTTAAACTGAATTTTCCAAATTGACTAGGCTTCCTCTCTTTATAAATAATACTAATACATTTATAATATAAAAGCATTCCTGTTGTTGAAGGCAATGTTGTTAATAAAAGAAAAGCAGAAAGAATATCTTATACAAGACAAACTCTGAGATATATATTTGTACAAAATATTACCGTAAGACAAAACAATAAACTAGCATGGGTTGCTGGCTCCTTTCCTAGAACCCAATCCTGGGGATAGAACACCAAAAGAAGTAGACTGTGAACTCCTTCAAGTGACAGCAGATTGGCAGCTGCAGAGTAGGAGTGGAGTCCAGAAGAGGGCCAGTGCCAGAGAAGGGAGACAGGCAGGGCAGGGTTTACTTGGGCCCTTTTAACTCTTCTCCCACAGTGCCTGGGGACTACCAATATTCGTAGGTTAGTGCAGAAGTAGTCCACTGTTAATAGCTTCTAGATTTAGACTGCCTGTGTTCAGATTCTTAGGCAAGTTATTTAACGTCCCTGGACCCTACTTTCCTCATCTATAAAACACAGGCAATAGCAGTATGTATCTCATAGGGTTGTTGTAAGTATTAAATGAGTTAATGTAAAGTGTTAATAATTCTGGCACACAAAAGAATTCAGTAAGTATTAATTACTTAATATTATTATTGCCTACTGCACTGCCACTGTAAGGCAAAAAAGAAAATTTTTTTAAAAGTACCAATTCCTCAATTGAGGTATCAATTATATCTAGGCAGCTGATTACTGGAATAGGGAAGAGATAACAGAAAGATGCATACCCTACTGGTGGCCCTTTTACATCCTAAATTAGGTGATCATAATGTAGGGAGATGGGGGAAAATCAAACACATTAATAAGTTCTAAAAAACTTACGTGAACATTTTAATGGGTGCAAAATAAATCTGAAAGTCCCAAACCAAGTTAGGTTTAAAAAAAAAAAAAAAAAACCTTAGAAAATTAGGACTAGAGGGGAGCTCCCTTATCTTGAAAATAGACATTTATCAAAGCCTAGCAAACATCACACTTGAAAATGAGTATAAAGTCTAAGACTGGAACCAAAACAAGGATGCCCACATCAGTCCTATTTAGATTCATTTATTTTGGAAAATAACTGAATCAATACTGTGCAACTATTGATCTTATATGCTAATGACTTTTCAAAAACTCTTTGGAATTATAGTAATATACATTCTGAAAATTTTGTTTTGTTCTGTTTTGTTTTGAGACAGAGTCTCACTCTGTCACCCAGGCTGCAATGCAGTGGCACAATCATAGCTCACTGCAACCTCAAACTCCTGGGCTCAAGCGATCCTCCTGCCTTAGTCTCCCGAGTAGCTGGAACTACAGGCACTCACCACCACGCCTGACTAATTTTTTCGATTTTTTGTGGAGATGATGTCTTCCTCAGGCTGGTCTCAAACTCCTGACCTCAGGCAATCCTCCTGCCTCAGCCTTCTAGAGTGTTAAGATTATAGGCATGAGCCACTGTGCCCAGCCTGAAAATATTGTTAATCTGGATCAGACAACACCTTCTCTACAGTTTTGTTTTTAAACCATCTATTACAGTCTGTGGCCATACAACCTTGAACGTGCCTGATCTCATCTGACCTTAGAAGCTAAACCATCTATTATAGATTTTAGAAAAATTGGGTTTTGGTCAGAGCTTTATTTTTAACATTACTATTGTGACTTATGACAAGTCAATTCATTTTTCTGGGCTTCAATTTTCTCCTTTATAAAATGGGAGGGTGTAGTAATTAGATGATCTCCGGGGTCCTTTCAGTTCTTGGACATCAGTTGTCTAAGATTAGAATTATGAAATCCAAATCCAGAGTATAACAGCAAATCAACTTGAAATTGCCACTAGATGGTGTCCTGCTCTAGGGTACTATGCACGCCATAAATTGTAATCTGCAAAGCCAAGGGTATATTTCCAACATTTGACTGGTGCCTCAGTACTTCAGCAGCTAAGAGCTTATGAGACTCTCAGATTAGATTACCCACTCTTTCAGAACTAGCAATAGTCTAGCATCCGTATCCAAGTTAGTAGTTGGATAAAAAGCTGAAGGAAGCCAAGATATATGGAAAATTTCACAGAACTTATATTTTAAGAGGTATTCTGAACATGAAGGAGAGAAAGTAGAGAATATAGAAAACCTGACTTAAAAGAAGAGGTTCATGGGTAGAAAGTCATTGGAAGATAAGAGATTAAAGTCAATGAACCTACAGTTTTCAGTACAGTAATATGCTGCGCAGGCTTGTAGCCTAGGAGCAATAGGTTACGCAACACAGCCTAGGTGTGTAGCAGGCTATCCCATCCAGGTTTGTGTAAGTACACTCTATGATGGTCACACTATGATGAAATCACCTGATGACACATTTCTCAGAATGTGTCCCCATCGTTAAGTGATGCATGACTATATATACACATATACACACATATCTTCCTGATATGTATTTATATTTATATATTATGACTTTAGGAAATATAAACCAAGGTAAGGGGAGTTGGTAATGTCCATCATCTGTGCCACCCACTTTCAATAAAACATCTGTATTCTGATTCAACTTTTAATCAGTGACTGTTTTGTAGAGTTTTAAAGGAGCGATGTACTATCTCTGTATCCTCCAAAAAGTCTGGCTCAGGTCTTGCAACAGATGTTCAGTAAGTATTTGTTGAATTTCCTCAGTTAAATGATATCCCTTTGCTGGCATCATGGAGAGGAATTTCTACCTTATACTGACTAATGGGCTGGCTTGGATCCCATATAAAGACGAGAAGCTTTGGGAATGGTTTGCAGCTGTCATAATGACAGATGCTAATTTAAGTAACAGAAATTTTGTTTTGAAATATGCATAGATTTCATAGATTTTCTCCATTTTATGAAACAGTCCTGAATCCACATTTTTTTCTTCTTTTCAAAATAAAGTTTGTACCTATGTTAAAAATAAAGTTAATGATAACATCTAATTTAATAATTAATATTAAATGATTTTTAGAATCATCTCAGGAACATTTAAAGTCAAACTAATTACCTCTCTTATTCTTTTTAATATAGAAAACAGCCCTGAAAAATCAGAATAAAGGTATAACATAAATGATTGTTATGTGTGCTTTAAAATGTTCTATTTTCTATTATTTTCTTGCTTAAAAGTTAAATATCATCTAAATAAAAATTACATTTATCCACTATAAGCCAAGAAAATGAGAAAATTAATGTAACCACTTTATTGATTTTGACTGAAATTTTCTATTAAAATGAGTTGAGCATGTATTTCTCTAATAAGGGAGACACAGAATAAGGGAGACACAGAATAATGGATAAGATGGCAATTTCTCCAAAGAGAATCTTGGTATTAAAAATCAAGACAATAGCAAACAACATTATCTAATAGTTTAGAGAGGCTAATGAACATATCTGAAAACTACCATGAAAAATGTGTTTAATGAGGTAATTTGCTAGATTTTACTGAGAATCATTAAGCAGTGCTAAAGGTGACTTTCAGCAACATTCAAAAACAGCTGAAAAGACTGAAAAGGGTTCAAGTGACTGAGGTACTTAACACCAATAATGGTTGTTGGTTTTAAGACCAAAAGTTATAATGCCTTTTAGGAGCTTTTATTTCTTGGGAGGGGCTGACATTTCATACACCCTCAAAGTTTGTAACCCAAGCAAAGCTCAATTAATTAAATGGATACAATCCAGCTCTTTGCATGTCCATAGTATAAAATGAGATACAAAAAATTCTCTCAAGAATTTTACAAAACTGGTTGTGAGCCTTTAGATTATAACTTTGTTTATGAAAATTTACTTCATCATTATAAAAGTTTTCAAAAGTACTAATTTTGAGATTTTGAACTTAAACTCTGCAAGATCTCCAGTTTTGCCACTTTACGTTCAAAATACTTTTCACATGAATACATTTTCACATGTATTTTACACCTGGGGCCACGCATTCCTTTTAGTCTATGACTATATTTTACTTTCTACCAACTCTACTAGATTACCATGATAGTTCTGTTTGTTACCTGATCATATTCCAAGGCTCCTGGGTAGAGCGGCCATCCAAGGAATAGTTCTGCAATCACACATCCCAATGACCACATATCTATGGCTTCACAAAACGGCAACCCCAATATAATCTCTGGAGCTCTGAAATTTAAAAAAAAAAAAAAAAAATCAGAGTGTTTTTTTCTTTAAAATTACCTAATTTTATCTGTCATTCTAATAAAAGTTAGTAAAATGACAAAGTAATCACCTTGTATTTATAGTAACTCTTCACTATTTCAAAACTCTCTGAAACCTAGCCATAATCCTGAAATGATCTGAAAAAGGTGCTATGAGTACATTGCTAGGATGAAGACTCTTCATAGTAATCCCTTTTCCCTTACAGAGTTTTATTAACATGACTTTTTTTTAAAAAAAAGAAAAAAATATAGATCTTGTTTTTGAGACTATAGCAGGTTAGAAATAACACATTAGAAAGAGAACTGGCAAACTATTAAAAACATGCACTATAACATCAACAGAACTGAAAACCAGACATTGAGAGATAAGACCAAAACAAAACAAAAACCCCAAAGGCTAAAAGTGAAACTAGACCTAGATATTATTTCAGAACACAATAATAAATATTTACCTAACTGGAACCATTAGTCATCCAAAGAGACAAAACCAAGCTCAATGTATTCTGTTTCAAAAGGCAGAAGAGTATAGGATACAATAAAACGGTTAAAAACCATTTTAGCATTTAAAGGGGGATTGGTTATTTGGAAACTGTGCTCCATAAAATATATCATTCTCAGATAAATTATGTTGCTACTTTACATAACTTTCACATGAGAAGATTCACATCCTCAGAGAGGTTCCATGTACAGCTGTGTAATTCCAAAGGAGTCATATATCCTAATTATCCTAGAGTTGTGTGTTCATGTGTGTATGTTTAATTTTTAAAAAATCTCAATCTTACAGAGAAGTTGCAAGAGTACAAGCATGTTTTTCCTAAACTACTTGAGAATAATTTGCCCAATTACCATATACTTTGTATTCCCTAAAAATAAGAATACGCTCCTACATAACAATGACATAATCATCAAAAGCAGGAAATGAACACCAATACATCTCTACCATATAAGGCTCAGACTCCGTTCAAGTTTGGCCAATTATACCAATAACGTCCTTTTTGGCAAAAGGATCCAACTCAGAATCATGCATTGCATTTAGCTGTCATATCTCTTTCAGTCTTTTTTGATATGGAATAGTTCCTTAGTCTTGCCTTGATTTCCATGACGTTTGCATAAAATATTACAGGCTAGTTATTTGTAAAAAATGTCCCTCAGTATGGGTTTGTCTGCTGTTTCTTTATAAGTAGATTCAGGTTATAAATCTTATTGAGAGGAATATCACAGAAGTGATGTTGTTTTCTCATTGTGCCTTATCAGGTGGCACACAATTGATACGCTCCATTACTAATAATCTTCACTTTGATCATTGGATTATGGCATCTGCTAGATTTTTCCGCTAAGTTCCTTCTTTTCCCTTTGTAACTAAGCATTTTGTGGGATTTCAGTTTGAAACTACATAAATAATCCATTCCTTATCAAACTTTTAATGTATTAGTTTATTTACCTGTATGAGTACAGATTAATGGATTCCTGTTTTATTCAATGGGTTATAATCCATTGCTATACTTATTTGATTCTCAAATTTTCCCAGATTTGACTGGTCAGAACTCCCTCAAACTTTTATGTTCTTTTGACTTTTCCCCACCATTCTTTGATTCCTTTTCTTTCTGACACAGCAAGATATTCCAAGCTCATCTTGTTCTTTCCCTGCTCCAGCCCTAGAAGCAGCCATTTCTCCGAGGATCCCTGGTTCTTTTAGGGTAGAATAGTACATTGAATCAAAGATCAGGGAGCTATGGGTCCTCATTACTACTAGGTTGATTCCCAGGCCCTCTCAGTTCATATATTATCTATGGTTAAGCAGAATAAGCCTTCTGCTGATTTCTTAACTGAGACTGGTTGTCACTAATCTCCTAAAGCATTCTCAATCTTGGCTGTACTTCACAATCACTTGGTCCTGGCCACACCCTATACCAATTGATTCAGAAACCCTAGGGACGGGATTTAGGAATCAGTATTTTTTTAAAGCTCCCAGGATGGTTTCAACATATAGTCAAAGTTGAGAACCAAAGCCCTAGACCCAAGAAGTCAGATCAACTGGAAGACCATTCCATTTCCTCCCCAAAACTCTTCTGACAGAATAAATTCAAAAGACAATGAACAAGCTGTTTTCTACCATAGATTTGGGATCTACCCAGTAAATCTTGTACTCCTGGTGGTCTCTGCTATAATTAATAGTTAAGATTCAGTAGACCCTTAATCAGCCCACAAACATTTGTTGGAAACAATTAAGAGCTATGGGGATATGCTATCAGGTATAAAAGACCTCTAAAACATAGTTATAAAAGGCTTCCATTCTTTTGATAAAATATTTATATGTCTGTATGGATGTATACACATGAATCATTAATATATTCAGATATAATCAAGTGCTAAAACATGTTGTAGAAGGAAGAAAAGAAATAAGTTACACTAAGTATTAATCCTATATACTACAATGTTGTACAAAAGTAGCTAGAGAAGAGGGAAATCTCCCTTTTTGGTCACCACTGTATACCTAGAACCTAGAAAAGAAGATGCACTCAGTAAACATTTCTCAAATAAATCATTCCAACATAGTGGGTCACACAAAGGAAAGCACCAGCATCAAGTCTGTGTTTGGACTAGACCTTGAAGTAGAGAAGTCTAGGCAAAAGAAAGAGACTGGACACAAGTTCATGAAGGGTATATATTAACCTACCCTAAAAAGATTCAAAGCAAAAAGACAGTTTCAAAAGTGTAGCGTACAAAAGAGATTTACTATTACTATTTATCATGTACTAATCTGAATGGTAGAGAAAAATTATTAAGACTAATAGGGTTATCATTGTGTGAATGAAAGCTTTATGATTATTTTGAAAAATATAAAAAATTCTTCATAGGATTTGAAATTTGTTAGTGTAGAAATATTCAATATCAATTTGTCAATGAAAGAAAAGTAACAGAATGATAGCAAATAAGATACACAATTTAAAGAGACTGAAATTATTTGAATTACACTGACAGTAAGAAATGAGTTTCTGCCAATCAAAGAGCAACAAATCCCTTCTGCCATTTGCTACCATTTAATGAATGAACCAAGTTTCTAACTGATGCTAACATGAATATAGCAATATTTTTACAAATATATTCAGGAATTGCACATAGCCACTTCAAACATAAAAAAAACCTAAGATATGAAAGTTATATTTGCAGAAACAAACTCAAATTTCTCATTTTAAAATACAAAAGAATTTTAACTGAAAGTTTCATACAAATTCATTATCTTTTATTGCATGTCAGTTCAGATCCTATGAGAAGCAAATTGATGTGCCAGAAATTTATTGGGGAAGATGTCTGTGAAGGATACAGGGAGAGGAGGAAGCAGGAGCAGGTGAGGAGAGCCCTCAGACCTCAAGTGGGTCTGATATCTGCAGAAGGAGAGAAACAAAGGAGAAATTGGGTAGAAGAAACTCGGTCAGCAGTGCAGTTATGAGAAAGTCTTGGTTGGGCCAATATGGAGTTTCTAAGCAAAAATTACCTGTTTGAGGAGCCCACCATCAAGCAAGAATAGCCCAGCTCTAGTGCAGCCACGATGTCTGATCAAGAGATGGGAGGGGCCCAAAGGAAGTGTGGCCTCAGCCTGAGCACCACAGTATATCTGAAGGTGCAGCAGCTGGAGGCTCTCAGTCAGCTGCTCCATATAGGAGGCTTTTGTTTTTTTAATTTGTATAAATTTACAGGGTATAAGTATAATTTTGTTACATGCCTAGATTGAATAGTGGGGAAGTCAGGAATTTTAGGGTATCCATCACCTGGAAAACATACATTGTGTCCATTAAGTAATTTCTCATCATCTATCCCCTCCCACCTCCTATCCTTCCAAGTCCCCATTGTCCATCATTCCACTCTCTATGTCCATGTATACACATTATTTAGCTTCCATTTACAAGTGAGAACATGTGGTATTTGTCTTTCTGTGTCTGACTTGTTTCATGTAAGATAATGGCCTCCAGTTCCATCCATGTTGCTGCAAAAGACATGATATTTCATTCTTTTTTTATGACTGAACAGTATTCCACGGTGTATACATGCCACTTTTTCTTTACCCAATCATCCACTGATGGATACTTAAGTTGATTCCATATCTTTGCTATTGTGAATAGTGCTGCGATAAACATACAAGTGCAGGCATCTTTTTGATATAATGATTTCTTTTCCTTTGGGTAGATACCCAGAAGTGGGACTGCTGGATTGAATGGTAGTTCTATTTTTCAGTTCTTTGAGAAATCTCCATACTGTTTTCCATACAGGTTATACTAATTTATATTCCCACCAGCAGTGTTTAAGAGTTCCCTTTTCTCCACATCCTTGCCAACATCTGTTATTTTTTTTTGTCTTTTTAATAATAGCCATTCTGACACTAGTGTGAGATGATATCTCATTGTGGTTTTAATTTGCATTTCTGATTAGCAAGGTTGAGTATTTTTTCACATGCCTATCGGCCATTTGTATACCTTCTTTTGAAAAATGTCTGTTCATTTCTTTTGTCCACTTTTTAATGGGGAGGGTATCTGAGTGGCACAATTCCATGGCTGCCATAACTAGCTTTCCAAAAGCTTTTGTATTTCATTTTACAATTCACATTTATCAGAAGAAAATGCAGCCAGGCGCAGTGGCTCACGCCTGTAATCCTAGCACTCTGGGAGGCTGAGGAGGAAGGATCTCTTGAGCTGAGGAGTTCGAGATCAGCCTGAGCAAGAGCAAAACCCCATCTCTACTAAAAATAGAAAAATGAGCCAGGTGTCATGGCACAGTGCCTGTGGTCTCAGCTACTCAGGAGGCTGAGGCAGGAGAATCACTTGAGCGCAGGTTGCAGTGAGCTAGACTGACGCCACTGCACTCTAACCCCAGAAACAGCAAGAGTCTATCTCAAAAAAAAAAGACTGAGAAGTACAGCCATCCTTCTTGTGACAATACTCCTACTATACAAGTTATAGCCACATTCTT